CCGGGTTACATAAAGTAGTCTCAAAAGGATAGGGGCTGGAGAGTTGGTTCAGCAGTGAAGAACGTGTGCTGCTCTTGCAGAGGACGTCCTTTACTTTATCTCTAGGCATGCATGTGGTACACTTATATGCAGGCAAAAACTCATACACAAAATAAAAATCTTTTATAAAAAACAGAATGTTAAACAATTACACAACATATACACGATGCACCAAAACACTGCATTACTCAAAAGAGAAAAATGAGACAGGTGTGGTGGTGCACACCTTTAATCCCAGCACTCAGGAGGCAGAGGCAGGTGGTCAGCTTGGTCTACAGAACGAGTTCAAGGACAGCTGGGGCTACAAGGAGGCCCGGTGTCAAAAAGACCAAAAAGAAAGGATGAATACTTATAGTGTTATAGGGATGCATTTATGAGATAATTATGTTGAGTAGGATAAACAATTATGTACATAATTATGTGTGCAAATACACAAGGCTTTTGTTAAAACTAAGACAACTGCTGAAGCTAAAATAAATGGACAATAGTATAAAAAGGGCTCAGAAAGAGTATGTACCTGAATTACTGTTCTATTAATAATTTTGCACAATAAGTGTTCAGTGAAGAAGCTGGAGGATGAAGTGGACATGTATACAAGTTGGGGTGCATGAACCATTAGTTTTTACCTCTCTAATACAGCTAGTTGATGTATTTGGAGGGGCTTAGAGTCCTTCATTTGGGATATTCACATAGTAAGAGGCTAATTTTTATATGGTTTTATGTGTATGAGTGTATTGCCTACATATATATTAAGTGCACCCATGTTGTGCAGTGCCTGCAGAGATCAGAAGAGGGCATCGGATCCCCTGGAACTGGAGTTACAGATGGTTGTTAGCTGCCATGTGGATGCTGGGAACCAAACCCAGGTCCTCTGCAAGAGCAGCCAGTGCTCTTAATTGCTGAGCCATCTCTCCAGCCCCAAGAGCCTTATTTTTAAGCATCTGATTTTAATATTCTGAAAGACAATTGACACAATGAAAACATTCAGTTACTGGAAGAATGCTGCTTTTTAAGTGTATAGTAGCTCAAGATTTAATTCACTTTAAAAAAGTAGCATCAGAGCACTGGCTGCCTGTGAAGCGTGCTTTTATGGGCCTCTCCATATTTCTAGCAAGCCACTTGTAGGGAAGGATTTGCTTACTCTCTGCGATGCCTGCTTTGGTTGCTGGAATATGAATAATACACATTTCTTTGGAGCTGAGCATAGTTTAGTCATAACCACAGTTCATAAAATCTGGAATGTAGTGACTATGGAAATTTGGTTATGCCACTGCTCCCTCAGGTGGTGGTGGTGGACAGGCAGGAACCAAGGAAACAATTTTAAAAAGCAGCCTATCTTGAAGAGTAGCACTGCAGCAAAGGACATCTTGGCTACATCAAACAGCCAAGTCTAGGGGCTTGAGAGATGGATCAGGGGTTAGGAGCATTTACTGTTCTTGCAGAGGACCAGTTTGGTTCCCAGCACCCATGTCAAGTGAATCACAACCTCCAATTCTAGGAGAGATCCAACCCCCTCTTCTGGCCTCCTCCATAACTGCACTAACAAGTATCCCTTTCCCCCTCGCACATACACATTAAAACCACAAAACAACAACACAACAAAACCAACAGCCAAGTTCGAAAGGTAAGATGCAACATGGCCTTTCAGGGGACCAGCACAAACAAGGTAGTCTATCATCAGCTACCTCACACAGTCCGAGACAGGTTAGGTCTAGTTAGGCACTGGCTTGAGTAGCAGAGGTTGGACTCAACCTTCAAAGGCAGATTTTCCTGCTTAAAATCACATGTAACATGAAGGGCCAGGGTTTTTTTTTTTGGGGGGGGGGGATTGATGAATGATATTTTTACCTAGCTTGGCAATGCAATTCATTCTAATAAATTATTAAGTACAGTTCTAAAAACTTTCTTAGTTGCCATCCAAGAAAAATGCCAATGTGTACTCGAACATATGCTGAATTCTTTAAAACTGACTTTAAAACTTTTCAAACTCTCAAGTGTGATAACACTGATATTGAAAAACAGAGTTTCTATTCATTGTGATTCATGATTTAGTTTTGGGTTTAAAAGGGTTTCAGTTCTCATTTCAATGAGAACAGACAATTGAGAGATCACCTAGTCACCTTTCTATAGAGGAATCCTCAGGTCTTGCTGAAGACTACAAAGTCTGTCAGAGGCAGAGCCAGTTCTCAGAGGTGCTCCAGAAATGTCTGGATTGCATAAGGCAGATTCCTATCTCAATGACCTTGGGCCACAGGTATTTTTAAGGGTTAGATGAAGTAAAGCACCTAGCAGTGCCCGGCAAAGTAAGTACTTAAAGTACTTTTATGGGCTCGAGTTGTCTAACTTCCACACACAGTAAATGCAATTTTAACATCTTTTGTGTTGTCATGTGTTCCTAAGTGTGGCTGCTTGGGTACCAAAGCATGTGTGTGGAGGTCAAGGACACACTCGGGTACCGGTCCCTCCCTTCCACCTTCAGTCAGTCTTGTTTCTTGCACACAGGTCCACAAGCTTCTGGGGAATCTCCTGTCTCAACCTCCCACCTTGGAGGAACATTGGGATTGCAGGTGCACATGCTATGTCTAACTTTACATGGGTCCTGGGGATCCAAACTCAAGTCTGCCCACTTACACAAGCCCTTAAATATTTCTTAAAATTCCTTCAAGGTTTTAATTTTTGTTAGGCAATATTCAACCTAAGTACAGGGTCGGGGGTTAGTGCCACCAGATGGAAAGAGGGAAGCAGGTTCTGTGGACACTGGCATGACTGGAAAGGAATGGGTAACAAGGAGTTGAAACCTCAGCCCAAGGAACCAACGGATGGAGCAGGGAAAACAAGCTGTTGAAATTTTAGAGCTCTTCACTGGAGAGAAATACTTCTAGGTGATTTTAAACTCCAGTAAACTGTTACAGGTATGGGGCTGCAATTAAAGGTCAACTGAGCTTAAAGAAAGACAACAGATAACATGACTCACGAAATTTGATAAAGCCTGTTCTGGGCACCAAATCCTTCGTGCATGTGGGAAACAGGATCCAGAATTTTAGACCTGATCAGCAAGAGCCAAGTATAATCTAGCCGGATTATCTAAAGGTGGGAGGCAGTAGGGCTGGAGCACTTTAGGACATCTCAGCCCTGAAAACAGGCATCTGGGAATAAACAAATGAGCTTTCATCAGCACAACAAAGCAGAGTGCCTCAGAGTTGTGTGATGCAAAAGGCAGCATTTCCAAAATGAACTCAGTACCAGTGACTGTCATGCATGCAAGCAGTGCTTGAGTTACTTTGTCTTTAAGTCACTTACTTAAAAATTTATGTGTAAGAGGGGTGCTTTACCAGAAGGTGGCATCTGATCCCCTGCAAATGCAGGTAAGGACGGTTGTTGGTGGCCATGTGTGTAGGGAACCAAACCCAAGTCCTCTACAAGAGCAGCCAGTGGTCTTATGACTCTCTCTCCAGACCCCTCAGTATTTTAAATGTTAAATGCCACCTGAAAAACCACATCATTCAAGGGGCTGGAGAGATGGCTCAGCGGTTAAGAGTACTGACTGCTCTTACAGAGGTTCAATTCCCAACACCCACAAATAGTGACTAGTAACTGTCTGTAAGGGATACAATGCCCTCTTCTGACCTCTGCGGGCACTGCATAAGATTGGGTACATTTAGATACATGCTTGCAAAACACTCATACACATGAAACAAAAATAAAAATTAAAAAACACATTTACATGTCGTTATATCACTGACGGCTGAGAACTGTCAACCTCAGAGTGCCACATACACAGCACACACAAAGGCCAATGATTCAGGGCACACGAGCTAACAGAAGCACCTTACTGCTTGAAGTAAGTCTTCCTTCTGCTTCTACTACCCAACTCTGTGCCCTAATACAGCACTTGAGGATCACAATACAACTACTTTCTTTACTAAATATGGATTAAGACAACCGCTATTCATGCCACCATGCTTTCTAAGTACGCTGTTAGCCTGGAGCCAGATATTCTGTGAATAGCTTTTTGTTTAGGGTTTTTGAATCAGTCATGGAGAAGACTCATGACGGTCTCGCACAGTACTGCTTACTTTAGTGAACTGCGGAAGATTGGACAGGCCATAGCTACTCACTTGGGTTAACTGCATTCGGCTTTATTGAGGAATTAAGTCTGCACCTAGCAGTTTTTAAGAAAAATATATGGCCAGAAAAGAGGCACAATTCCTTTATCTCTGAGATTGAAGCCCATAGAAACAAATCTACCAATCTTCTAACTGCTGTACACAGACCTACATTTCTTTAAGGAGATATACAATTACTGCCAGCCCACTCATGAAATGCACTTTCAATGCTTAGAATTTCATATATTCAATATAGCTCACATTTGAACATAGTCTTTTAAGTAATGCAGATCTTCAACATTTGAAAAGTTTACTGAAAACTTTTATTGTAATCAAAAAGTGACATAACGGGGCTGTAATGAGTTCAGCAAATCATTCTGCTGATATTTTAGAACTGGTATCAGCTTTTGCCAGGCAATTAAAAAAATTCAAATGTGAAAATTTCACAGTAAACTCCACCCCAACTAATTAATGGTGGTTAAAAATAATAGGCCCTAGCAAAACCTCTCATGTTACATGGTCACAACTCACAATTCTGTACAAAAGTTCGTGTTATAAAGCTCTGATGTAAAAATCAAATAATCAAGCAGCAAATATTTTAAGTGCAGCACAGGGTCTTCCATGTCATTATTTACAAGGCTTGAATCTCTTTACATTATAACAAAGTTTAATACAGATGACTTAGTAATTAAGTCAATTAAAAACTCTGTCCTTCACACAGGGACAGATTTCACTTTTTGGTCATCTTTCTCCTTCTCTTTCTCCTTGTTCTTCTTGGACTTCTTTTTCTTGTGTTTGTGTTTTTGGCTTTTCTCCACCTCCACCTCGGTGCCTGCGTGCTTCTTATGTTTCTTATGTTTTTTATGCTTCTTGTGCTTCTTCTTCTCCTTCTTCTTCTTCTTCTTCTTGCTGTCCTGACTCTCCGCCGAGCTGGCACTGCTACTGTGGCTTCGGGTCTGGCTGCCGGAAGGGCTGTGACTTCTACTCGGGCTAACGCTGGGGCTGCTCTGACTCTGGCTCCTGCTGGCACCCACCTGGCTGGCAGTGGCTGCTGCTGCCACCGCCGCTCCTGCTGCTGCTGCAGCCACAGCCGCCGTGGTGGCGGCTGCAGTGACGCTCAGGCTCTCCCTTGCTTTCTCTACCGTTTTATCTTTCATGTCCTTGGAGATGCTGCTGGCAGTTTCCTCTTCTTTCACAGACACATTACTCTCGCTGTCACTCTCGTTATAGTCTGGTTCAAAAGCAGCTTCATCGGTCTCTCTAGTCAAATCAGAGGAAAGTCGAGAGGAATGACTCAACTGGGGCTTGGGCTTAATAGTGTTCTTGTCCACCTGTCCGACCGGCTCTTTCTCAACGGGAGGGTCTGGTGGGTTGGGTGTGCATGGTAATTTGCTACCAATGGCCTCTTTCGTGTTCCGAGCCTCTGCTGTATGCTTTTCCCGTTCCTTACCAGGGTTCTTTTCTACAGACTTTGTCTCTTCACAAGAGCGCTTAGTATCGTAGGTGGCTTTATGATCATGGGGCTTTTTGTCTCTTGAGGGACTAGAACTACTTTTTTTGGACTCGGTCCCCTTTTTAGACAAATCTCTCTCTTCCCTTGGCTTACTTTTCTGCCCGGACGAAGAGTCTTTACTCCGAGAAGGAGAGTCTTTTCTCCTTGTCAATTCATTTCTCTCATCTCTCCGTTTGGAACTGGAGTACTCTCTGTTGTCATACTCGGTTTTTTTGTCTCTACTGGGAGTGAAGTCTTTATTTGATGAACCCCGACCAGAATCATGCTTCTCTGAAGCTCTGGGCTCTTTGGAAGATTGAGAGAGATTTTTAAAATTTCCTTGTTCACTCAGACGGTCCAAGCTGCTCTCCTTCTCTGGCTGACTGCTACTCTTCTTCTTGTCAGGGTTTTCCTTCTCTAACACTGAATGGTCTCGATCTTTGGTCTTCCCCTTTTCACTGGATGTAGAGCCTTTTGAACTTTTCACCTCATGCTGCATAATTTCGTGGCTTACCTCCTTGGTGAGCTTCTGAGTCTTCTCTGACTGCTCACTCTCTTTCTCAGGATACTTGACTGTGGCTGATGGCTTACCAGCAACATTCTTTATAATACTAGATGGCTTTCCTACACTTGCTATAGGTTGTGTGGATTTCACATCCTCCTCTTCAGATTCAAAGTCATCTTTATCCCATTTGGACTGAGGAACCTGGATCATAATAATAACATCTTCAGCAGGAGCTGTATTGTCATTATTATATTCTTCCATAGTTTTAATGACAGTTCGCTTTGTATCTGTTTTTTCTTCAGATTTCCGCACAGGACTGCCTCCAGTTGAGCTCGTACTAAAAAGAATGAAAAACCTTTTAATAAAGAAGTTATCACTAATGATAAATGCAAATATATAAATGCTAGCTTAAAATGACCAACTTCCTTTTAGCGTTAAGTATTCTGCCCTAAAAAAACCCAGACATGATCTAAAACCAAGGGTGCTCACCTCTTCCTTCTCATCTTAGGACGTTGCCTATTCTCTGAAGATGAGTAAGCCAGTTTAATTCCATGACTAACAACACTTGGAAGTAACAAAAGCTCCCCATGGAGAATATGAGAGGGCATCGCTTCCCCGAAGGGACACTGCACCCACCCACCGTCAGATACCTGGTGTAATCCACGAGAGTCGAACTAGAGCCTTCAGCTCCAGCTACTTTCCGTTTGACCTTTCCTTTGACTTTTTCCTGTTTAATTTTGCTAGATGTGGACTCCGATTTCTCAGAGGGTTCTTTGGAACTAGCTACACTTTCCGTACTTCCAATCTTTTTCCCAGTTTCTCTGTTGAGTTTGATTTTTTTGGCTGGGGCAGTTGATGACGCACTCTTGTCCTTTTCTGGGGTCCGATCCAGCTTTTCAACATCAGCTTCCATTTTGCGCTTTGGTGATGGTTTCACTATTTCATTGCCTTCTACTTTAGAGATTTTCATTGACGATGACTCAAAATCTTTATCTACTCCCTTCTCTTCAGTTTTTCTCTTTCTTTTTTCTCCCTTGCTATCAAGGGGTTTATTTTTCTCTGGCTTCTTGGCCTTTTCTTCCTTACTGGCTGGTTTTTCTGATTTGACATCTTTGGAATAGTCCTTCTTCACCTTCTCCTCCTTGACTGGCTTTGTCTCCTGGTGTTCTTTAGCAGATTTAGAGTGTGCTTTCCTGGGGGTGCCAGTGACCTTGTCATCCTTCTGAGAGGATGAAGATGGTTTCACAGACTCGGTCTTCGGAGCCTCCTCTTTGGCTTTTTTAAGCGGAGGTTCAGCTCGAGGAGATTTTTCACGCTCCCCATCGACCTTTTCTTGGGGCCCTTTAGCGGGTTTTAAAATGTTTTCTTTTTTGGATGCAGCAGATCCATCACTTTTCCGTTTGGTCTTGTCACTTTTTGCTTTTGGCTTATCCTTTTCTCTCTTGTCTTTTTCAGATACTGATTTGAAAGTGATGGATTCTGCATCCATTGGCTCATCTCTAACAGGTGTGGCATCATCTCTACTGGGGAGGACAAATAATGCGTCAGTCTTATTTTCATCCACACCTGAAGATTCCCTGGATTTCCTAGAAGTCTCCAATAGCTCCGGGTTCAGAAAGCTTTCACTTTCGTCCCCCTTTCTTCTTTTTCTGTGTTTCTTGTGCTTGTTTCCTTTACTGTCTCCTGGAACGCTTTCGCTCTCCTTCTCTTTTGATTTTGTATTGTCTTTCTGATTGTGACTGTCTCTTGTTGAAAGCTTTTCTGGATAGTTGCCACCTATATTTCGACTTCTATGACTTTGTCCAGCAACATAGTCTTCTCTGCGTCCTCTTGTGAAGGGGGAATTTCTGATATTAAGAGGCAAAAGTCTCTCTGGAGAAAAGTTCTCTCTGTTTGCTGCGGGTCTAGGCTGTGCTCCAACAGTATAGCCTTTGTAGTATTTCTCATACCACTCTCGGTATTTTCTCTCCCATTCTCGGTAACGCTCTTTTTCAAATGGGTCTCTAAAGTCGACACTCCTCCCATAGTAGGCTTTCATATCATATGGTGGCGGAACTTCTCTGTATCTATTAAAATATTCACGCTCTGTTTCTCCTTGAGGTACATTACGTTTACTGGGAGATTGTCCCCTAAATGCTTGAGGAGATCTTGATCGTGAATGATACCGTCTATATGGAGGTGACCTTGACCGAGATCGGTGATACCCATGAGATCTCGACCGGGAACGGTAATTTCGGCTCTTGCCTCTGCCTCTTCTGGGGTAGGGGGGTGATCGTGAATAGGAACGAGAATGTGAGCGGCTGAATGATCGAGAATAAGAACGTGACCGGGTTGATCCAGACCTTGACTTTGAGTAAGTGTATGAACTTCTTGAATATGATGAACCACTGTAGGGAGATTTAGACCTAAAAACAGAGCAATAATTGATAGTTGAGAAACATACACAAAATAAAACTCTCAGATTCTATTCTCTTCTCAGTTTCATCTTTCTTTGTATCAAGTCTCACCCTAGATGATTAAAGAGGTGGTTACCTCTACTAGAATGGAATCAAGTGCACAGATCAGAGCAATCACTTGTTACAAACAAAAGTGAAGCCTTAACAACTAGAGTGGAGTGCATTAGTGTGCTGTGCGTTTCATGAGCTTATTAACATCAAATAAATGCCAATTAACTTTAAATTTCACTTCCTATCTCATCATTTAGGTAGGAGTCTATTTTTTTTTTAATCCTACACTGGCCAACAATCTAGCTTTAAAAAGAACCACATTTTAAGTTTAAGTCTAAAAAAGAAAGTCTTTTAAACAAACTTCCAGGGAATTTTTGTAATTCAATTTTTTTTTTCTATCAATAAAGCAATATGTATCCTACCACTATTTTATAATCACACAGGTTAATGTTCCAGCAAGAAGCTGTAGCCTTAGGGTAAAGGGTGTTCAGAAATGTTCTTTAGCTATTCCCCTATTTCTTTTCTTCCATAAACATTTCCCATTTACTTGAGACTACAAATAACTTCAAGGGACAAGGGCAATTTAGTCCCCAGAAATGCTAGTTCTACACAATAGAATTTACACTGAGACATCATCTTAATAAACATACTGGGGAATAAGCTGCATCTCCATTTCTATAAAACTAGACCGAATCGGAAAAATCTTGTAAGTGCAGTGTTATTTATATCCATAGGTAATCCCTGGATATTCAAAGTCCCATTTGTAATTCTGTTGTGAAGGCTTACAAAACACTAACCTGGAAAATGAGCGCCTACGCTCCTTTTGAATCTTTTTGTATTCCATCAATTCCTTAGCAAAATCATTTGTAAACTCATCTAGCTTGGACTTTTTCTTTTCCCTAGTAAAATAAAGTTAAAGAGTGAAAGTTAACAAAAACCATTTAAGAAAACTAACAAGACAAATGTAATTAGATCATGAATGAAATGAATGAAATTGCCATTAGTTTTCCACTTTAAAACTACAAATAACTAGGTATCCCTGAGGAAGTTGCTTGTATGGCTTTGGTTTAAAATTTTTAGGTGAATTTCTTATACTAACTGGAAACACTGGAAAATGTTTCCAAAATACCTATTTAATGTTACATCAGAAAATGAAAAAAAGTGTATAATAATTTTAAATGGAAATACTCACTCTTCTTTGAGCCGTCGCTGCTCTCTATAGAACTCTTCCCTGGACAAAGGTGGGGCCTGCGTTGTAGGGATGGCATTTGAATGAGCAGTCTGCACTCCTGATGATGCCCAAGGTGTTGATAAATTGGCAGGAGCTGGAGGAAACCCTGGAGGAGGGACACTATACCCAGCAGGTGGTGGCTGGCCAGGAGGAAACTGAGGAGAAAACTGTGGGGGAGGAACACCTGGTGGGAGAGGAAGTGTATGGGGAGGTGGATACAAAGGAGGTGGTGGGACAGGCACAAAGACTGGAGTTGCTGGTAGTGATGGGCCTTGAGTCCTCTGTGACCTTTCGCTGTGGTGTCGCCCACGGTTTATACTTCTGGAGAAATAAATTCCAAGAAATAATTATTCTTTTAAATTAAATTCATCTGAGACAAATGAGCTTGTCTTTTTCTATTCCTAGTTATTTTCTAAAGTCTATATAAAAAAACAAGAGTCGGGCATGGTGGCAAACGCCTTTAATCCCAGCACTCAGGATTAAATCAACTATTTATCTAGTTTAGAAATGCAGACACTCTGCAAAGCCAGATATGAGGACATAAGTCTATAGTCATAGCTACTCAGGAGGCTGAGCTGAACCACTGAGTTCACAAATTTGAGATCAGTCTGTGATCTCAAACAGCAAGAACACAGCTCAAAACCAAAATACTCTCAAAATAATTGTATTTCAAGATCCTAATTTAGCCAGGGGTGGTGACACAAGCCTTTAATCCCAGCGCTCAGAAGGCAGATCTCTGTGAGTTCCAGGCCAACTGGAGCTACAGGGAGACTGTCTCAAAAAGACCAAAAAAACCAAAACAAAACAAACAAAAAAACTACCCTTAAGATCCTAATTTAAATTTTTAAAATTTATTTTTTCTTTATGTGTATGTGTGCCTAAATGTATGTATGTGTATGTACCATGTGCATGCAGGTGCCCTTGGAGGCCAGAAGAGGGCACTGGATATTCTGGAATTAGATTTATAGGTGGTTGTTGAGCTGCCCAATGTGGGTTCTGGGCACCAAACGCTCTTAAACACCAAGCCATCTTTCCAGCCCCAAGATCCTAATTAAAAAAATTTTTTTAAATTTTTACTTTTATGTTTGTGAGCATATTAGCTGCATGTGTGTAAGTGCGCCAATGTTGTTCAATGCCCAAGAATGTCAGGAGATGTCGGATCCCCTGGAACTGACAGTTGTTAGCCACCATGTGGGTGGTGGGAATCAAACCCGAGTCCTCTACAAGAGCAGTCAGTGCTCTTAACCGCTGAACCATCTTTCCAGGCCCCAAGATCCTAATTTTTAAGGTCACTTCCCAATTGACATGAAACATTATCTTTTGAAGAAACTGACAGGTTACTGTGGATGTGATGTATTTCTCCCCTACATGTCTTTTAAAACCAAAAGTTTAAATGAAAAAAAGCCACTGTAACTACTTTTTATTTGAGGTAATAAAGACTATATAAAGTATAATACTAATTTTAATATTTATAATTAACAGAAAATCTCAATATTTTCTCTCAAAAGATTAAGAAGACCCTAACAGTGCTAAAGTTTCTGAATTGTCTCAAAGCAATTGAGTGGACTTCTATTAAACTAAATCTCCTTGTCTTTTCTTAAGGAAAAGAGGTGGGAAAAAAACTGGGACAGAGAGGAATTCAGTTCTTCACATCTGGGAGTTCAGTTTGTTAACTTTTCGTAATCAATGTCCTGCAGTGTGCTGATATGGACAAAGTAATGTAATCACTGGAAGGAATACAAAAGATGGAGTCCAAGAGACTGGGGAGATGGCTCAGTGTACTTGCTACAAAAGTGTGGGGAGCTGAGCGCAAAACCCCAGCACCCACAGAGCCACGTATGCCTGTAACCCCAATGTTGCAAGGGGCAAGACGGGAGGATTGCTAGGGCTTGTTGGACACTAACCTAGCTCCAGGTTCAATGAGAGATCCTGTCTCAAGTAGTAAAGTGTAGAGTGATAGAGCAGGATACCTACTATCTTCCACTTGCCTCCATGAGCACAACCCACCCTCCCTACACACAAAGATGGAGCTCTATAGGCCATTATGATAAAATGCAATTTATGCTTTCCTAATCTTTCTTCCTCCCTAGACAGGGTCTTGCCATATCATCCAGTCTGGTCTTGAACTCACAATCTTCCTGCTTCAGTCTCCCAAGTAGGATTACAGGTAGGTATCATGTGCAGCGATATTTTTGTAAACCTACTCTAAGTAGACTTTATTTTGCCACCTGCTGGGGACTAAACCTAGGGTCTTGCACATGTTAGGCAAACAACTGACTACCAGACTATAATAATCCCCAGTTTCTAAATTTCTTAAAGACAACTACTGAATCTATTAAGAGAAGAAATGAGAAACAAAATGGCCCTCTTCATCTAGCCATTTCTGTGCTTTAATTTCTTTTTGTATTTTCTCATGTATCGTTTTTTAAGAGTTTTAGCATGCCTACCTGTAACAGCTTCTCTCTCCTCTTCTAATTTGCTGTGGTGGAGAAACCAGATACCCAAGCTTGTTGGAACTGCACAGGGTAAAAAAAGATAAAATAGGCATGAGTATTTCTCCATGGGTTTAATATACAACCTTTCAGTGCACATACATTATCTTAATTATTTTGAGAACTTTTTCCTGTTCCTGTACTTTAAACCTGTTTCAGATCAAAGAGAACTAAGCAAATATTACATTCACTTAAAATTAACTTATTTTTTCAATTAACTATAATGATAATGTACCCCTAATACAGAATACTTTCTATTTTTAACTAGCATTCTACAAATACGTCTGCAAACATACTGTTTTAGGAAAGGAAAGGACTGTTTAGTTTGCAAAGCTCTATCCACGTGATTTACAAGGTGGGTAAGCCTTTCCAGTTTTACAAATGAGAAAATGGAGGCTGAGGAGGAATACACAGGTTCACGGTTATGTAACTAGTGAAATGAATTCTGACTCAGGTCTGCCAGTATAAATTTCATATTCTTTCTACTGATTCTCCTAGTCTTTCATTCAGTGTATCTTTTCTACAAGAAACTTGGTTTAACTAACAAAAAGATCAAAAGTTTTTAGAATATAAATCCCATAGAACTGTCTGCATAAATAAAAATATTTTAAGAACTATTTTTTTCATGCCATAAAGGAGCCCAGAGACCAAAGTTCTTTTTTTCAGGACAGAAAATCACATCCTATAGATTTTAATATGTAAAAAGACTATTAATAAGTAGGAAAAAAATTGAGGAACTTTGTGTGTTGAAGACATTCATCTTATAATCTATTTACTAAATCAAATTTTGGTCAACATTAGGGATAAGAAACAGCTTAAACTTTTTGGAAAATAAGATCCTGAAAACTTAAAATATAGAATCAATGTATTTAGTAATCTGAGGCCCTGTCAAGATCCTTATAGTAAAAAAGCAGAAAGGAATCTACAATTTTAGAAAAGAATTCTGGAAAAGAATTACACAATGACCTTTGAACAATGTGGGTTTAAAGTTCATGTTCACGTTATTAGTAAGGCAAGTCAATAGCAGATTCTTAGTAGTAAAGTTATGAGGAGTCAAAAGGAATAGGTCAGATAGAGATGAAGCTCCATGGTACAGCACTTTCCTAGCATGCTGTCACCCTAGCCTCAATTCCCAGTACTGAGGTGGTAAAATAAAAAATAAACAAGAAAAATAAAAATACAAGTTATAGATAGATTTTAGGGTCAGTGTCCCTACATTCCCAAATTGTTCAAGAGTCAACAATATGTATTCTTTCAGATAATTCAACATATAAATTTCAATTTGTAGCACTTCACATAAAACTATACTAATCTGGCATATATGAAAAGAGTTCAGAATAGTCTTCATTGTGTGGTTCAGAAGCAAGTATCTGAAGGTTATAGTAACATGTACTTACTGTTCCCAACCTGGTCGACCACCACCTGGACGAGCAGCATTTATTCTTACTGGACCTGTAAACAGAACATAAAAACAGTAAATATGAAATTGCACATTATTTTCTAAAGGGAAACAAAGGTCCAAATCAAAATGATTTTACTTACCAGTTGTGGGGATCAACTGTCCATGTAATAATGACTGTCCCAGCAAAGATGGCGTTCCTAGAACAGGTACTTGGTAACCCTTTAGGAATAACCACAAATAAACAGAAATAGTTTTGGTGTTTTCTTAATGAAACAGTCAAAGCAAAATTTAAACTATATATAATGTAAAAATTGGTCTTTAAAGCCAATAAAATGTACCTTTTCTTCCATAAGAGCAGTAATTGCGATTGAGGAGGCTCCCTTTGAATGTTCTGATGCAAGGGCTGCAGCTGGCAATAATTTATTATCAGAATCCCTAGAAATCAATGTAGTTTAACAATTAAAACTGTGATTAGGTTTGGAAGATCAAGAATAAAGTTGGCAATGATCACCAATGCTGCTTATCTATAATCTGCATTACAGATGAAATTAACAGGAATCAATGTGTGGAAAGCTCTGTACATACAACATAAAAAGATGGGGCCCAGTTTCATAGGCAGAGATGTTTGCATGCATATTTGTGAGCTCATTATGTGATTTTTATATTAAAAATAAACAAAAATAGTATCGATGAGGAAAAAAAAAAGACATGCAGGCCTCATACCGAGTACCATCCCTGGGTCCCACATGGTGGCACAAAACAAGTGACTCCTTAAGAGTTGTCCTCTGACTTCTCTGTGACACCCACAAACCTTAATGCGTGCACACAAACATAAACACACAGACACCCATACACACTTTAAATAAGATGGAACTGGAGGCTGGAGAAATGCCTCAGTGATTAAGAGCACTGGCTGCTCTTGCAGAGGACCCAGGTTGTTTCCTGCACCCGCATAGCAGCTAACAACTGTCTGTAACTCCAGTTCCAGGGGATTATGCCCCCTGCCCCCGGCCTCTGTGGGCATTGCACATATGGGTACGCTTACATGCAGGCAAAAACTCATACACATAAAAAATTCAAAAATAAAAAGGATGGAATTGCTTTAAGAAATACTATATATGACAGATGAGTAGTTGCAAACATGTAAAAAGTCCAAAAGGGCACTATGTTAAGACTATACTCTTAAACTGAAGATAAGAAGCTTCTCTACACCCTATTTCCATTATTGACCAAATTTAGAACTGTGGGATATCTTAAATATGTATGTAAAGAGTTCCTCTTCAATATGCCTTAAACAGGATCCTACCACCTATTTTAAAATCCTGGCTGATCTTAAAAATGCCTGCATCATTACAAAGGTTCCTTTCATTTCCACGGTAGATTTCAAATGCTTTCACTATTCTCCTACATAATTATGCTCCAAGACAATGATTATTCCCGGCCTTTCTACTTCCATCAGTTTCACCTCTTCTGTCTATTCAAACTGCTCTTATTCCTACTCACATCTGCTTTCCCAATATCATCATATGACCATTATGAAGTGAGTTTTCCTGGCTTTGAACTGCAGAACTGTTGTTATGCCAGTCAACATTTAATGGGGTTGTTGGCAACTTGTGTACTCTCTGACCTTCGTTTGTTTCATCCTCCAATAAGTCTGTTTTCTTATGTTATCACAAGGTACTGATCTGAGCACAGTGATCCACTAAAAAATTTAAACTATCTAGGTGTGGTGGTGCTCACATTTAATTCAGCAGAGGCAGGTGGATCTATGTGAATTAGAGGCCAGCCTAGTCTACATAGTGAGACCCACTGTCAAAAACAAAAGCAAAAAAAAAAAAAAAAAGATGTGTTTGTGTGCACTGAAGAGATGGCTCAGTGGTTAAGAGCACTGGATGTTCTTGCAGAGAGTTTGGTTATGAACATAAACATAGTGACTAACAGTCTGTAACTCTAGTTTCAGAGGATCCTATGCAGATTTCTGGCCTCTGTGGGTATTGCACACACGTGGTACACTTACATAAGGCAGGCAAACACTCAAGCATTAATTAAAACAAAGAAAAAAAGTAGTTCACTGAACTGTACAATTTGGGACCAGGTGAGTACTTGTTCCAGTGCCTATGCTAATTTAGCTGCACAATGTTTTTATTTGTGAGCTCATTATAATGTGATTTTTATATTAAAAATAAACAAAAATAGTATCAATGAAAAAAAGACACCACTGACCTCATTTGTTTTGTAATAAGAACTATAGGCTTGCCAGGCATGGTGGCACACGCCTTTAATCCCAGCACTCAGGAGGCAGAGACAGGTAGATCTCTGTGAGTTCCAGGCTAGCTGGGGCTACAGAGAGACCAAAAAAAAAAAAAAAAGAGAGAAAAAAGAAAGAACTATAGACTTACCGGAAAGGTCCATCAGATTTTTCTGAATGGACAGATATAGATACTGTTGCAGTTATATCAGGTACTGGAGCTGGGGCAGAAGATGGATTTCCAGGCACAGAAGGAGCCAAGGACGACTGATTAGAAGTTAATGAAGACATAGAGGGAGCTGGGTGAGCTGATGAAGATGTCACTGGAATCATCAGGGGATCCTGCTGTCTTGGTATTGGAGATCTCATCAAAGGCTGCAGGTTCCGTTGCATGAGTGGCCGTGGTGGTGGTACAGGGGGTGGTGGAGGAGGTAACTGTTTTCGTAGTCTTTTTGTATAGCCCGTTTCATTTTTGAAGTTATTAACAGCCTACAGATACCAAACATAAAAACGCAGAGTATATAATATACTCTTCACTTAAACAGGTACAACTGGGAAAAATGCTAAAGATATTTTTGCATGAAAGGAATATACAAAGATAGTTACCTGTCGTAAAAACTTGTTGGCAATTAGAGCATCAGGAGAAACATCATTTTGATGACATGTTGGACATGTATGTTCATCTGATTCCAGGAGTGCTGTTCTTATACCTAGGAATGAGAAAATTTTATATATGAAGACGCGTATTTGTGTTTGGCATGAATTAAACAGACTACTATTCCAAGCACACAGAACAAATCACTTCTTAGATTAAGAAACTTAAATAAGAGCACTCCTCTTGTACAAGTCTTCAACTTTTCCACATGGCCTTATAATTACATTTTAAAATGTCATAGATGTAGGCCAGGTGTGGTGGCGCATGCCTTTAATCCCAGCACTAGGCAGAGGCAGGTGGATCTCTGTGAGTTCAAGGCCAGCCTGGTCTACACAGTGAGTTCCAGGACAGCTGGGGCTACAGGGAGACCCTGTCTCAAAAAAAAAAAAAAAAAAAAAAAAAAAAAAAAAAATCACGCATGTGCCTTAAACATACAGAAAAGACACTCTGCCAAATACTCATTTTTGTTTAACTAGTGGTCAAAATAATATACCTAAAATAGAACTAAGTCTAGAAAACAGTGACTGAAACTTTACATGCCTTAAGAGTTTTTAAAAAAGCATCACAAGAATTCAACTTGGAAAAAAACCCTAAGCATTGTTTAGAGAAGGAAATGAGACTCCTGTATCAACTACATTTCAGAGTCAGATTATGCTTCAATGAGTAGTGTGTTAAATTCAAGATACACTCTCGTATCTTTTTAAAAAAAGACTATCTACTTTTATGTGTATGAGTGTTCTGTCTGCATATAAGTATACCACGTGCATGCCTGGGGTCTTTGAATGTCAGAAGGCGGCACTGGATCCCTGGAACTAGAGTTAAGGACAGGTGTTAGCCACCATGTGAAAAAAGTCAAAACCATGTGGAATGTTGGGTAATAAAATTACAGGATGGTCTTAATATTTCCTCAATTATCAAAGGTTCCAATTTTAAAAAATTCTGTATTCCAGGTGCAACATTTAGGAAACAAAAACTTGATATTTAAAACCTCAATACAGTATATCTTAGATGCTAGTAAAGAAGGCTAGAGCAGCCGAGCATGGTGGCACATGTTTAGTCCCAGCACTTGGAGACAGAGGCAGGTGGATCTCTGTGAGTTTGAGGCTAGACTGGTCTATATAGTGAGTTCCAGGCCAGCTGGGGCTACAGGGAAGACCCAGTCTCAAAAAAAAAAAAAAAAAAAGACCCAAAAAGAAGGCTAGACCCATTCCCAATTTTAATATTTATAATGTCAAAGGTGATGTTAAGTTGAAGGCCAGCCTGGGTTTAGTCTGTTTAAAATCAATCAACCAACCAACCCATCAAATAGTCCAAGAGACCAACTAGACTTCTATTAAATCATCCATCAACATTTCCTATTTCATTATTAAAATATACAATGCTAAGAGCCTTTCCAAACAAATTCATGTCTTTAGGATCTCAAATCTCTTACATTCATCACAGTAACTATTTCCACAGCAGGGAATGACAACAGCATCAGTCATGATATCTTTGCAAATGAGGCACAAGAGCTCGTCTGGGATAGGATCATCTTCTTCTGAAGACGACGACGGCTCCTCTGGTAAGAATGGTGGTTTTTCTTTCTTTCCAATTGCATATGCCTCTCTGTAAAATAAGGGTTCAGCATTCAGGATTGTTAAGAAGGCAAAGTGGTCACACTCTATGTTCTGTTATAATAGAACAGGGAACATGTAACTTCAAGACAATGGCAATTAGTGCAGACAAGCATCTCTTCCAACATATGGGGCACTATGCCCATCCAAACAGGTACAAAATAGAACTCTAAACAAGAAAGCAGAGAAATAAACCAACACTATAAAAGCAACTAAAGGGATCTTAGAATCCCTACTCTAAGAACTAAGTGTTAGAGAAGTAAAACATGTTAAGGTACCAGAATGTGGGATCTTAGAATCCCTACTCTAAGAACTAAGTGTTAGAGAAGTAAAACATGTTAAGGTACCAGAATGTTTTATTTAAATGCCTGACATACAGAATATGAACATGGAGAATACCATAAATCAATTTCCCCTTACCATATTTCTTGAAAATCAAGTAAAAAATTCTCCCCCATATTCCAGCATTCTGTGTGTAGACAGAGTGAACAACACAAGATGGGAGCTGCATTAGCACCACAGTTAATGAGACTATCATCTACCTGCCATTTTAAGATATTAATCTACTTATAGTCACTTAAGCATGACTTAAATGGTCCGAATGCATTACATAATCATGAAGGAAAACCTCCTTATACATTATGGGTTGAATTTTTGGTAGAAATGCATTTACAAGAAATGGTGGGAGTTATAAATGCATTAAAAAACACAAAAAAGCTATTCTCAGGCTTGTCTCCACTGCTTCCATAACCCCCAACCCCTTCTCTCCACTCAGACAAACTTGTAAACCACAGGAATTCCTAGAGAAAACCTTTCTAGTTCATTTAGGAACAGGATGTGTTTATCTCAGTGCTGAAAGTGAAAGCATCTCAGCTGGATGGAGTAGGGTACCTTAGGTGTGTTATTTGTGTTGCAGTTGCTCCATAGACATCACCACGATTCCACAAATAAGTATCAATTTGCTTATGCCCCATTGTTCCCAATTTGTGAAAGAGGAGTCTCCCACTGCCCAAGAGAGAAAAGAAAAAAGGGAAAAACAAAAAAAGGGGTGGGGGGAAAACAAGGATAGAAAAAGAAACAGAAGAAGAGTCTGAGTTGCTTATCAGTGGTGCTAGTGGAGAAGGTGAAGGCTGCATTTAAAATCTTTGGGTTCCCATCTCTCCCCAGTATGGGCTATGCACAAACGGGCTTTTTCTTTTTCCAGCATTCAAAAGCAATGAATTATTAGTTAGGGTTTACAGGTAATGTTAATTATTCCAGAACAAACTTTTATTCTTTAAGAACTTTTATACAATATAGATGAAGCGGTCTGCTCTTAAATTAACTGCAAAAATCAATCCAATCTAAAATTGTTTCAAAGCATTTATGAAATGTGTCTGAATTCAAAACAGGGTAACAACAGACTGCTATCAGATGAACCACAAAAAACACAGGATGGCGACTGAAAGATGGGGTGAACTTGAGTAAGCGAGCAGGGTTGGAAGTTGAGGAAAAACCATTAGTTCTTATTTGTGAACTATCTTTATACAAAAGTACAGTCTCAAAATGCTAAATCTTTCAGTATAATTTCACAGCGTAACCAATTTCATCATCTCTACCTACTCACTACATTACGCCACCATTTGTACATGGAGCTGGGGAAAACTGATATTACTATTCCTTATTTTGTCATTGAAAACCTATTCCCTAAACTGATGTTTCTCAAAGGATGTCCTAAAAAAATCGACTTCATAATCTCCTGGAAGACTTTTTTAAGATGCAGAATCAGGATCTTACCACAAAACCTGGGGGTTTGGGGCAGAGAGGTTAGAATTGTAATCTAAAGGAAAACATATTGTACATATGTGCATTCAATTCACACTGTTGAAGGTTTTAATGAGAGAATATCTACTTGACTCATACCACTAGATTTTTTATGTTTGTTCCTTACTTAAAAACTGGCTTATGGGGGCTGGAGAGATGGGTCAGTGATCAGAGGACCTGGGTTCAATTCCCAGCACCCACATGGCAGCTAACAACTGTCCTTAACTGCAGTTCCAGGGGATCTAATGCCCTCTTCTGACCTCTGAAGGCACTGCATGACACGGGTGCACTTCCATGCATGCAGGCAATATACTCATACACATAAAAATGAAAACAATAAAATATTAAAAAACAAGCCCGGCATGGCAGCACATGCTTTCAATCCCAGCAATTGGGAGGCAGAAGCAGGTGGATCTCTGGGAGTTCAAGGCCAGCCTGGTCTACCTAGTGAGTTCCAGGTCAGCTGGGGCTACAGGGAGGCCCCATCTCAAAAAAGACCAAAAAAACAAAAACTGAAATAACCAAAACAACCCCCCCCCAAAAAAACCCAAAAAACAAAAACAACCCTGGCTTATAGGGACTATGACATGACTCAGCAGGTAAAGTGCTTGCCATGAATCTCAGCACTTTATTTATATGGATTCTAGAATCCATATAAAGGTAGAAAGAACCAACTCCATAAAGCTGTCCTCCACACAAGTGCCATGCTAGGTAGGCACATACATACATGCACACACATACACAACTAACAACTCGGTACACATCTATAATCCCAGTAGTAGGGTGGCTGAGGCAGGAGGACCGTAAGTTTGAGGTCAGTCTAGGCTGCAAAGTCCTAGTGTTTTTGTTTTTTTTAAAAAGGCACTAAGGCATTTCATAGAGCTATAGCTGATCTGAATTAATAATGGTTTCTTAAATAAAGCCCACTTTAGAATCTTAAGACTATGTGTTAAACCCAAACCCAGTTATGAGTCCTCGGTATTTCATTTATGCTTGGCACTTAACTTGCCTTGATATCTTGCTGCACTTTTACTCTTTTTTGTCTTTTTGGAACAGGGTCTTCCTGTAGCCCCAGCTGGCCTGGAACTCTATGTAGACCAGGCTGGCTTTGAACTCACAAGAGATCTGCCTGCCTTTGCCTCCAAGTGCTGGGACTAAAGGCATGCCACCACGCCCATCCAGCTGTACTTTTACTTTTATGCTTATGTCTCAAAACGATTACATCTGTTTTGTTGACTTACGGAATGGAAATAGCATATATAGTAAGATCATGTGGGAACATGTATGTGAATGAAGAAGCAAGCAAAGAATGACAGAAAAAGAAAAATTAGAAGACTACAAGGGAAGTGGTACTCATTGATGACAGAAGTTTCCAAATCCATTCTAAATTTGCATTAAATGGAGCAGACTGCAGCCTCTCAAAGTTAACACAGAAATGTACCATGTGAATATTAAAATGCTAGGATGGAAATCCCCCCCCACACACATCAAAGTTACAAGCCCAAGATTAAAACACTATACCCTGGGACTGCCTGTGGTCCCCACAGGTCATACCTAACCCGCATACTTACGCATCTATAGTCGGTATTGCATATTTCCCAGTGTTGGTAAGCATTGCACCTTTCATGTTAGGATCTTTCACTTCCATCATAAAACTTCTAGGAATTCCAGTGCTCTTTTTAATCCTAGGACCAGATTCAAAGTTCTTATCCTATTTAGGGAGAAGAGAGGAAGAAAAAGCAGTCTTCTTTAGCAATGTCAGTTAACCTCATGCAGTGCTTACCACTTACTTTCCTTGTGATGCTTTACATGAAAGATCTCATTTAGTCCTCAGAAGTGCCATGTGAGGCAAGTACTAATTATCTCCACTTCAGAGAAACAGACTTAAGAGCATCAAGTACTTTGCTCTAGTCAACAGAACCAAGATTTGAAGCCTGGCCAACGTGGCTCCAGAAGTTCAGCTCACCTGCCATTTTAAGGGAGAAGGTAATTTATAACATGATACAGTTAAGGAATAATTCTACTAATCCTAGCACTTGGTAGACTCAACAGGCAGATTTGAGTGAGGCCAGTATGGTCTACCTAGTGAGTTCCAGAGCTAAACAGTTAGACCCTATCTAAACCAACCAACAAGAAAATAAGTAATTCTAAAAACATAAGCTCTATCAGTTTATATTTTGGACTTACCCCATTTGTTGGGCAATTTTTAATGTAATGACCAGGTTTACCACAACGGAAACAGGTATAAGATGGAGGTGGTGGACCTAGAGGCTTCTTCATGTAACTGAAAGGGAAAAAGAACTTACATGTACACAGGGACTTTTAAAGAAATAAAACTTCTGATTCGGGGGAGAACACACCCCCAAAGTTCCTAGTAGGATAAAATGTTTATACAACTTACTTGACCGGGTCGTATTCATGGCCAGACTGTGACATCATTGCTTTAATTTTATCTTCTTCAGAAGCATTGGCTTCAGCCAGATTGGCAGTCTGTTTAACAGGTAATTATTTGACACACACATTAGAAACACATTTAAGACCATACAGCCAAAGACAACACCACTCATCCTATATAGAGCAGCAGCTAACCAGACTGTGCAAATTAAAAGCGATGTACATGAAGAACTGGAATTGGCACTGGGAATTTCTTAGGTCATTATATAATGTTTATGTGTTTGGGAAGCTTAAGAAAGTCTTTCTGGGGGCACTCAAACCTTAGACCTTGTTTACATTTAGATTTATGTACTATTAAGATTTATATACTATATATATATTTTTTGGTCTTTTTGAGATGAGGTCTCCCTGTATATACTACTGTTCTAGCAATTAAAAGCAGAGTGAGATTTAGAAGAGAAACACTTGATGTTGTCAAATCTTAAATATTTCAAGTGTTAACAGCATTGAGATAATTTATAATTAAAACTTGGAAGGTAGGAATGGGGGTAAACAACTGAACATATTACACCGTACAACTCAGAAGGCTCTTTAGGTAGTGGGATCAGTTTCAAATTAAGCTCAAACATGCGCATTAACAAACATTAAAAAATTAAAGCCTCCAGGAAAATTTTATTAAATTTAAGGTATTAAATATAATCTAGATATAAACAGGATCCAAGGGAGTGATTTCTAATATCCTGGATCTTTAAGCATCTAACACAACAGCCACTCACTGTGTTTTTATCTTTACATTCATCCACAAAACAAGCAACCAGTTTTAACACTTTATTGTAATTTTATATACAATGGATGCTTAACATTAACAAAGCTTAAAACAACAACATTTACAGAAAATTGTATTACAGGTGTTTAACAACTAATTTGTTTGAACCCAAACATTATTTTACAAATAGATTTTTAAAAAGTAAAATAAAAAGAATAACCCAAATCTTCAAAACTCCCCGACTCCTTCCCAGCAAAGAAACAATGGTAGGAATAGACAAAACTAAAATATGGTCCTAACAGTACATTAAGAATAAATGGTTATACTATAAACTGCTGAAAATGTTAACCCTATGCTAAAATAATTTGCACTAGAAAATAAAATAGGATGGCTTCATCAACTTTGTTTTAGATTCATCAATTTTAATGTTTAGTTTTCCTAGGACAAGAACTTAAATAGCAATTTATTTGTTAATAGTGTATCTTTGGGGGACATATCCTAGAAGAGATACAACCTATAACAAAATCAAGGACAAGATAGGGACAGCACTAATGGAAAAGCCCACCCATCTTTTCATTTATGTTGGTTGTTAAAATTTGGCTGTACATTTCTGAATGCAAAAACAAAACAAAACATTCAGGACAACTTCCTTAGCCCTCAGACCTGCCTGGTTTTTTTTGGAAAGGCAAAATTTGCAATCTAAAAAGTGTTGTTTTTTAAAACAATCCATCACTAGTGCTTTCCCAAACAGAAGATACATATTGTTGAAAATGCAAGCAACCTTATGGCACAACATGGCATATACAGTGGTTTCAGAAGGTAACAATTTGCTTCTCTGTCAAACACACAGGCTGGTATTCCTGCAAACAGCTTTACACACATACACAATTCAAGTAGTCTGTGTTCAAACAAATTAGGTTTAAAACTTTTTTTTTTTTTTTTAATGTGGACAGACTACAAATCTATAGCAAAAGGAAACAACTGTACCACATTTAAAATATAGACCTTGGTGAGATCAATTCAAACATTCAAGAAATAACCACGAAATTGTCCATGTAAAGGAAATCTTCTGTTTTGGCTGTTTTAAAGAAAGTCCACATAATTCACAGCCAAAACCAGGAAATTCCTCCAGAACTTTGTTAGCTTCCAATGTATAATTAAAATGTATAAGAAAGAAAAAAAATCAATTAAGTGAAGCTTCGTGTATTTCTTCGGTCTTGAAGATGAACAATACTCCAACATTATGCTGAGACTGACCAAGTGTTCCCCTATCTTCTCAAAACAGCAACTACTCTTTACAGGGCAGTAATACTATGTACAGTGTGTTCACAAAACATACACCACCCCCCATCTTAAAAAATAGTTTCACATTTTAAAAAAACACGATGTTAGAAAAAGACATATTTTCAAGAATATATATACCTTTGTAAGCTGGGCCAGAGAAATAGATGCAGAAGAGTCATCAATCTGTTCATAAAAAATTAAACACATATTCAAGTTCCACACTGTAAACATCTGAAGGTGGTCATTTAGCCCCTAGTATCACTTAATGTTTAAATATTGGGCATTTTCTTACTTTTCTAAAGAATGTTGTTTTAAGCCTAAAAGTACAGCTCAAACTGTTATCTTTTGTACATATTTCACACCCAGCTATAAAGGCTATCAATTCAGGGGGACTGAATACAATGAAAAATCAGAGGGTAAAGAAAAGAATCTCCACAGGAAATCTATTCAGAGTGGTGAATAAATACTATAATGAGTTCCATGTCTCTCAATGGTCTCTAAATTTGATAATGCTCAAGACACTGTACACTGGAAAATTAAAAAAAAAAAAAATCTTTCCCCCAATGCCATTTTATATTATAAAAACAAGCAGCTCTATAAGGGCTCAGATAATTGCCTTAATACACAACAAATCCCACATAATTGCTACTTTTTGTTGAGCATGGACTACTCAGTCTGAATAAGTTTGTTTATTCTCCCATACAAAGAATAACAGCTTCTCTTGCAAAGAAACCACAGCTTTCTTTATCAAGGCAAAGATGTCAAGCCAACCCCCGCCCCGAACCCCAAAACAAAAAGAAAAAAGATAACCCCAGGGAAGGGTAAATAGAGCTGGAATATACAAGGATGGATTCTAGGGATCTGGAGAAAAGATGTCAATTTAACCAACAGAGCAAGGATGTATGAGAATATAAAAAGGCCAAAAAATGTATTTTAAGATGTAACATTAACTTTTTTTTTTCATTTGATTCTCTTAAACAGTTGAATTCTTTTTAGAGGTGTTTATATTCATGCACATATATGTTTTAAACATGTAACTCTGAGGACATGAGTTCACTAAAGCTACCTATTTAGTGAGTTGCTTATTCAACATGCTACAAGCTTCTTGTAATACTGGTCAGGATTCTTGTTTAAAATGGAGATATTTCAGTAAGATGTCTGATTCAAAGATGAAGTCTTCATTAAATATCTAAAAGTACTAAAATGAAAACATAAAAATAGAAATGCAGCAAGCTTCAATATGAAGTTCTTCGCCAATGCCCACCATAGAAAAGAATTCAGTAAATTTAAGAATCACATTGGTTAAATTTAAGATACATCTTGGCTGGGCATGGTGGTACCTGCCTGTGAAGCTGAGGCAGGAGGATCACGAGTTCTAGGCCAGCCTGGGCTACACAGTGGATTTGAAGTCAGCTTGACCTACGTAGCATGACTCTGTCTCAAAAAAATAAGTAAAAATGAATAAAAGTACATCTCATAAGTATCTAATGTTTTTGAAAGTTAGTCTGATGGATATTATTACTTGAATGTTTATTTAGACGAATAATTCTTTGTTCCACTCTCAAGGACTGTAGAGGTCATCATGAACTAATCCCACATTTGTAATGCATAGCTACACAACGGGCTCTCTCTTGCTCAGCTCTTAAGCATTTCTGTACTTTAAGAACTAATCAAGGAGAAAGTAGAAAAAAGAAACTAGAGAATACATAAATACCCTGTTTTTTATTCATAGTTCTAGCCTCATCAATGTATTTAAAAAGGGCTGCATTTTAGATCAGTAGGAATAACCTTAATATTAAATAATAAGGACTGAATAAACTCTTGCTAACCAAGTCAACATCTATATGCTAATCTTTTTGTTTATATGCTGGATATTCTTACCCTCTCCCTTTTGCTTTTCTGATACTTATTTTTATCATGTATTTCTTGAATTCAAAGTGATTTCCTATATAAGTTGCATCTCAATTATATTTTTCCCAACGAATAATCACTATACAACCTAAAGACCTTATAATCTGCTTAGAGGTCAAATGTAGCACAAATTTAGAAAGGCATCCAATTTTGTTTCCTACATACAGCAGGGAATTAAGAGACAAGTGAAAAATGTTCATAAAGAATGGCTGAAAAACGAATAGGAATTTATATGTACTAAAGCATCACAAAAACAGTAATTTATCAGTGAAATACTGTTACATTTACCACATTAAAAAGTCTTCACAAAGTGATACATACCGCAGATACCATTAAAATGAGCCCACCTCCCTATTATTAATTAGGGGGTCTTGTTTCTGGGAGCAAAGACCTAAAATCATTTATGCCAATTATATGTGAATGAAACTAAAAGAATCCTATAATGTAATTCTGATGTTTATTTAGCAAGAACAACATCTTATTCTGGAGTACCAACGTGGAAGCATGACTGGGGCAGCATAAGGGAATATACAGCCATCTTTAATCAGACTTGGCTTAAACTGCCAAAAATGAGATGGGCATGGTGATTCTTACTGTAATACCAGTGCTCAGGAGGCTGAGGTAAGAGGATTGCCATCTGGACTGGGCTACACAGCAGGTACCAGACCAGTGAGGGCTATACAGCAAGACCTTGTCCAAAAACTCTAACCAAACAAACCAAGCAAAAAACCAAGCTGGGGATGGGTGGCACATGCTTGTAATCCTGGCACATGGGAGGTGGGGCAGAAAAGATCAGAAGCTCAAGGAAAACCTCCAATACATATTGAATGCATTGTCTCAAAAAAGAAAAAACAAAAAACAAAAAATCCCCACCAGAAAAACCCAAAAAACCCCCCAAAACAAAACAAAACAAAAACCCAAAATGTACATTAACATGCTTTTACTAATCAGAATTTAAAAATTGGTCCACAATGGGTTGGTGAGATGGCCCAGTACTGGCTGTACTGGCAAAGGACCCAGGTTCATTTCCTGGTATCCACATGGCAGCTAACAAGTGCTTAATGCCATCCAGTTCCAGGGGACCCGATGTCCTCATCTGGCCTCTGTGATCACTCCACAGATTAGTGCACTTACATACATACAGGCAAAATACTCATACACATTAAAAAAAAAAAAAAATTGGTTCATGTTGGGTTTTCAGTACTCAGGGAGCTGAGGCAGGATCTCTGTGAGATTAAGGTCACCTCATCTACATAGTGAGTTCCAGGCCAGTTGTGGACACACAGAGACCTTGTCTCAAAAAAAAAAAAAAAAAAAAAAAAAAAAAAAAAAAAATTCCAGTGTCTCTATTTTGCTTCTGTTAATGTGCATAGCCAAACCATTCTTATACCTAAAATGAATACTAGCTATGCTCAATGAACATACTTTCATCCTAAATATCAACGAATGTACCCCAAGCAAATAAAGGATGGAGATTAACAAGTTATATAATGTCTCCATTTCAATTCTACCTAAAAATTAAAGGTACTTTTTTTCCAAGCATTAAAAAGAGAGACCTAAGTAAGCTTAAATTAAACTGCTTCTTATAAATGTAATACAGACATGCCAGGGAACACACAAGGCTAAAAGAATGTTAACTTTATTTATGAACATGTGATTTGTGTTTATACACATGCTAATAAACAAAAAGGAAATAGCTGTTTTCAAGAAATAAAACTTCATCTGAATTAATTGAAATACTATATAAAAAATGTACTTTATACAAAATGTGTTACATTTACTACTACAGTCACCAGGATAGTTGATCTAATTTGTGCTAGCATTTGAATACATGAAAATCATTTTTAAATCAATCATCAGCAAAACAGAAACTTGGACAGTTTTTACAGCATTATGCTTAAAAAAAAAAAAAGAAAAAGAAAAAAAGAAGAAAAAAAAAAAAAACATCCAAAAGAAGGGGGAAAACCCCAAACACTAAGACTTTTGATCTTTGCATTACTATACTTAGTTCCACAAGAACTAAAGGTCATATATTTTAGAAAACAAGTCCAAAGTTCAGATATTCTATGTTATCATCATGTTTAAGATCCAATGATCCAAGGTTAGTGAAATGCCTCATACACAAAGATCAGTAGTATTTAAAAATAAAATGAAATAGCAAGCAATACCCTTTATTTCTAAATGAAGATTTTTAAATACCTTGTGTTGTGTACAATATTAAGCCTGAGCAATAAAATGTTTAGAGAACCATCAAGTTTACAGAACCCAATTAAAAGAGACCTGTGTTCTGAAGCATGTTTCACCCCACAATTTAGGAGTGGTGCTCTTACTTAAGAGCTCAAAGTTAAAATGGTGTCACACTAAGAGTTAATCTATAGTTATTAAAAAAATGTTACCTTGGTTAATGGTAACTTACTTTTAATTAAGACAGTCTATAACTAATGCAGCATTTTAGCATCATATGAGAAAGGAAAATATTTTAAACAGACTAAATCATGTAAGACCTTGCAATTAAAATCTGAAAGCAGTGGGAGACCCAATTTAGGTATTCACCATATGGTAGAATTGTAAGCATAGGACAGGAGTTCCAAATTGCCAAATAAAGTAATACGGACTACTAGAGTAGAGCTGCATCAGTAGTCTCTGCAAAGTGCTTTTCTATGGTGTGTTTGAACCTAGAGAGAGTATCAAATAATGTACGGTCTGCATGTTGCTAATCCATTTTTGAAAGCTGTCAATAAGGCAGGAAAAAAAAAAAAAAAACTAACAAAAAACTAAGTGATACGAAAACGTGAAAATGGCAAAATATACACTCCAAACAACTTTTTTTATTGCAAGAAACAAAAAGCACAAAACAGCCTGTACATACATACAAAATACTAACTATAGACAGACAGATGTCGAACATGTTATCATGTTCATTAGTGTAAAATCTACACGATCTAAAAGGGATCATACATTACTGTACAACACAGTGTCATACAGGAAAAATGCTATCATATTTAATATGAAACAGTGTAATGGGCACAAACTACCCATTTCTACAGAGTAACTGCAAATTATGCCACAGATATCCATATTCAACTGAGCTGTCATTCAAATACAATTTATTTACAGTATGAGCTATCATCAGTTGGGTATTAACTTCTAAAATGATTTACTTCACTGCAACATTATAAAGGTAAAAGTAATTGTGTAGAAAAAAGTGTGAGATTGTGTTTTTACATACTGCTTTTGTAGTTCCCATCACTGGCTCAGTTCGACTTCTAGAAAATAAAACAAAAACAACAAAAACTTAGCTACTTAGGAATTTTGTGTTAAATTGTTTTGAGACAGAATCTCAGGTAGCCTAGACCAGCACTGAACTTGCTTATGTAGCCAAGGCTGGAAGGATCCTCTCACCTCTGCTTCCCAAGTACTGAAATTATAGGAGTGCACAACCATGTCTGATGGCTAATAAATCTTTATATGTAACATCTTTTCAGGAATACAATTTTCTTTGATATAAAACTTTAATACAATTTCTGAATCTTTACCACTTCTGAACAGTTTAAGATACATTTGTGGTTTTAAAAAAACAAATCCATACTGAGAATTCTAAGCGACTTAATCACTTATGTTTTCTGAAAAGTACTACATTACAAACTTTGTGCTTTACTCCTAACAGACTGAAAAATTACTCTCCAGTTTTTCCAAAAGATGTAAATTTCCATATATCAAATTTCCCTAAAGCAGACCCCTGTTCAAATCATTTATGATTTAGATCCTAGCAGACTACTATGTTACAGAAATCCAGAAAGACAGGTAGATGATAATTTTTTTGCGGGGGGGGGGGGGGGCCTTTTAGAGACAGGGTCTCCCTGTGGTTGGCCTAGAACTCGCTATATAGACCAAGCTGGCCTTGAACTCACAGAAATTCACCTGCCTCAGCCTCCCTGTACCCCTGTCATGGAAAACTGGCAGAGGCCAGAAGAGGGTGTCACATCCCTTAGAACTAGAGTTATGAGCACTGGGATTAAAGGTGTGCACTACCACGCCCAGCCTGATAATTTTCATTTTAATATTTCAAAACAAGAATTAAAGTTCCCTGGAAGATGCAACATAGTCTGAAAATATTTTTTTAAAACTGAGTTAAATGCTTATCTATAATTGGGCAATTTGTCACTAATCTGAATTCTTCATTTTCTAGTATTTGTTCAAACTGAGAGGCATTTCATGAGGCAAATATATTATCAACAAAAATCCCACGTTATAAATAAGGAATTATAAATAAGCAATTTTGTACAAGGCATGGACTTCAAATAATCCTTTTCTCAAGAATTTTGTAATAAATGAAAAATCCAGAGATCGAATATGATACTTAAAAAATTTTTTAAAAAATATTTATTATTTTTATTTTATGTATATGAGTGTATTGCCTGCATGTATGTGAATGCATCCGTGTCATACAATGCCATTGAGGTCAAAAAAAGGGCTTCGGATTCCCCTGGAACTGGAGTTAAGGACCGTTTGTAGCCGCCATATGGGTGCTGGGAATCGAACCCAGGTCCTCTGAGCAGTCTCTTAAACTGCTGAGCCATCTCTCCAGCCCCTGATACTTGTTTTTAAAAAGCACATGGTGAAGTTTAAGTTCATGTAAAAGTATCTTAGGAAATAATTCTACCCTAATTCATATTATAGTCCCTCTACTATGATGTAACTTCTGAGATGACCAGGACTGGTAGTGCAGATCTATAATTCCAGTTACTTAAAGGGCTGAGGCAGCAGGATACCAAGTTGAAGGACATTTGGTCTACAGAGTTAGTTACAAGGTAAGCTTGGACAACTTAGTAGGACCCTGTCGCAAAATACTAAAAGGATTAAAGAGGACGAGGGATGTAGTTCAGTAGTAGAATGCATGCTTAGCATAGGCAAGGACCTATGTTTGTTTATTCCTCAGTACTACATACATATATACAAAAAAAAATAAACGAAACTTAATGAAGTTTTAATTATGTCACTTTAGTGACTATAAGGTTCTGACTCTGTATACCACGTTCTTATTCTAATAATGGGCATTTATTTGTCCAGTGCCAAGTACAATTTAATTCTTACAACTCAGAGTTAGAGGGACAGTTATCTTTAGGTATCTATGGGGAATCTGCTCTAGGATCCTTACTTCCACCTACTATAATACATACCAAAAAGTATGATGCTTAAATCCTTTACATAGAAAAGCATACATTTTCGTATAAACCATACAATTTTCCATATTTTAAACAATCTCTAGGTTACTTATAATATTTAATACAATGTTATAGTTGATTCTGAATTCCTCAGATGGCAAGAAAAGTCTACACCCGTTCAATACTTAACTATCACAGGCCTAACATGTACAGTACACGTCAGCAACAACTACCTAACATTTTTCCAAATGTTTCATGCTGCAGTTTATTGCAGAAACAAATCAGACACGAGTTCTGAGAAGTATGCCAAATGCACTTAGAGAGATCTGCCTTAGAGAGATCTGAGACAAAAATACTAACTTATCCTGCATCACATAGCTAGTAAGTAATAGGCAGTTAATGGAGCCAAATCTAAGCCTGCCTCCAGTGTTATACTCACAATCCTTATACACCCTATGGCCTCCCAACCAAAACCTCGTAGTGATAAGCTTATGTGGGCATTACTTGTGATGCTGTCAAAATATGTGAAACAGAGCTCTACAACACATACATTTGGGAGGAAAAATGTTCTCAAATAGCAGCTCCTTTAACTACAGGCTACCAATTTAACCAGAAGAATTCAGTAAGAAAAAAACACAAACAAAATACCCATCACCAAAACCCTATGCTCAGTTTTCAATTGAGATAGTAAAACTTTAAATGCTGATAAAATATTTTTTAAACCTTTCAAAAGGTCTTTATTTAAATGCATGAAATTTATAAATACTTACATAACATATGTCTTGCTTGTAGATTTAACACCTCCAATAGGAATTCTTCTGACAATTACAGATGAATTTTTAGGAATTAGAGCATTATCATCAGTATACTCTGTAAATAAAGAAAATCAAATTTCTACTTAAGGATTTGAATAAGAACTCAAGAATGAGGTGGCTTCAACCAAACATAGGCTTTGTAGGAAATGAATTTAGACTAAAAGAGCAACTAATAACTACATGTATGTTCCTTAATCTAGATTACTAATATTGTTAAAACAAATATTCAAAATCCTTGAGGGTTAGAGAGATGGCTCAGCGGTTAAGAGCACTGGCTGATCTTGCAGAGGACCTGGGTTCAATTCCCAGCACCCAAACTGTCCTAACTCCAGTTCCAGGGGAATCCAACACCCTCTTCTGACCTCTGGCACTGCACAACATGGGTGCACTGACATACATGCAAGGCATTACATTCATACACATAAAGTAAAAATAGTATTTTTTAAAAAAGAGGGACAAAATCCTAAGGGGGCTTCTCTTCAAAGGATACCACATAGTATTAGTTAGTATCAGTCAAGTTCTAGGTCCTAGCACCTCTACTTTGTTGACCTCCAAATCTCAGTAAGACTAAGCTGCTCCCTAGCCCACTTGACCAGAAATGTTTAACATGTCAACTATAGAAAGTGTTTCCTCCGTCCCCTAGCATTTGAGTTGACTATTATGATCCCTGCCTTCATGTAGCTCATTATTAGAAAAGACAAACTAAACATGAAATTATGATTTGCTGGTTTTTATAATAATGGTAGGTGTTAAGCCAGGCGTGGTAGTGCACACCTTTAATCCCAGAGGCAGGCACATCACTGTGAGTTCAAGGCCAGCCTGGTCTCCATAGCAAATCCAGGCCAGCTGGGGCTACAGAGAGACCCTGTCTCAAAAAAAAAAAAAAAAAAAAAGACTTTAATTAAGCCCTAGGGAGGCAGAGACAGGCAGATCTCTGTGAATTCATGGCCAGTCTGGTCTACATAGTAAGTTCCAGGCTAGCTGGGGCTACAGAGAGACCATGTCTCAAAAAGACCAGAAAAAGAAAGGTAGGTGTAACTTTGGATAGGATGATTTTTTTTTAAACTTTCCTGAATATCCAGTATTTGTGAATGAGAAGCCAGTCAGATATACAAGAAAGCTGAATGAATAGTATTTTACAGAGAAAAAATGTAAGGGAGTAAGACACATAAAGGACAATGATGCTGAAAATGGAAATACAGGCAGGAAGGTATAAATCAGGATCAACTTATACTTTGTTTCTATGTATAACAGGAAATCCCCAGCTGATTTTATTCAGAGTGATGATAATTTACGTTATCAAAAAAGCTTGCTCTCAAAAAGGCCATAAAACAAACCAAAATTTGCTCTGGCTGAGCGTGGTGATGCATGCCTTTAATCCCAGCACGCAAGGAGGCAGAGGCAGGCAGAGCTCTGAGTTCAAAGCCAGCCTGGTCTACATAAGTTCCAAGTCAGCCCCACTATAGGGAGATCCTGTCTCAAAAACACCAAAACAAAAAAAACCACAACTTGCTCTGGCCTGGTCTATGAAAAGATGGAAAGAGATCGGGTAAGAATTCCTGGGTTCCACTCAGCAAATGGAGAAACAGTGACAGCAGTGTTTGGGAAGAAAAAAGGAAGGGTGAGTGCACCTTATCTTTCTACTTACACTTTAACTGGTGGCAGTTCTAAGCATGAAATTAAAAGATCAAAATCTTCCTTAATTGCACAACCAGACATCAGGGTCCACTCTCAATGTTACTTGCTTCACTTGAGTTACTTAGCATCAACTGGCTGACTTTTTCTGCTCTGTTGGTTAACTCGGTATTATATGTAGGTCTTTTAGGCTTTTAATGTGTATCATTATTATCTTTTATCTTAATGCTATTAGTATTCCTTGCTCCACATTGAATTGCTTAGGCAAGAGTTCTTATTCTTTTAAGGGTTCTTTCATTCAGTTTTAAATTGCTGGCTAAAGGTCATGGGTATCTACTTAAGAATGATGCAATTTCCTGGATGTTACGCATACCAATGAAGACCATCATCACTACTTTGAATAGCTTGCAATCCCAATTTCTAAGCAAGAGTCAGAAAAATCAGAAGCAGGGAGAATGGGGGATTTTTAATACATTTAAAGAGATAGGTGTGTTGGTGCACGCTTTTAATCCCAGCACTTGAGGAAGAGGCAAGTGGATAGAAGCCAGCCTGATCTACACAGTGAGTTCCAGGCCAGATGGAGCTATAGGGAGACCCTGTCTCAAAAAACATACAAACAACAACAAAAAAAAACCCAAGAGTTATTTCTAGAACCAAAACTTAGTGACAAACACCTGACAGTTTCTTTAGTTTCTTTATGTGTAACAACTCTCAAGTGTATAAATAAAGCTTTCAAAGAGAACTTACTAGTTAGGTATTGAGGCTGAGGCAGTAGCATTTTGCTATGAGTTCAAGACCAGCCTGGGCTATAATGCAAGATCTGTTTTTTGTTTTTATTCAAAAAAAGAAAGGCTGGGTGTGGTGTCTTATACCTTTAATCCTAGTACTTGGGAGGCAGAGGCATGTGGATCTCTGTGAGTTCAAGGCCAGCTTGGTCTACCCCGTGAGTTCCAGATCAGCACTATGTTACTATATCAATTAGTATTACTAGTACTAGAGTCAGATGTCTCAATATCCCTTGAACACATGCTCTAGCTGACCTGTTAGGTACTTGAATTTACAATGGTTTTCTTAGTTGCAAGAGTTCTTTCTTACATATAAATCCTTAACAAGTAGTTCCTTTAGATTCAAAAGGCCTACCAGTATAAGTTTTGCTCTAAACCAGAAAAGGCATGGATGGAATAAAATGATGAATCTGAGTAATGACCAGCCTGGTCTACAGAGCGAGTTCCAGGCCAGCTAGGGCTACAGGGAGACCATCTCAAAAAGACCAAAAATAAATAAATACTTCACTCTCAGCCTCCCAATCTCTTACAAGTTCAGGATGAGGGTACTCGGGGGGTGGGGTGGGGTGGGGAGGAGTTAGTATAGAAAAGTATAAAAATAAGTTTTACAAAGATCATTGGGATTCATTGTGAAATAAGTAAGGTCTAGAAATAAACTAGCAGGATTCTTAAGTCCAAAACAGAATTCTGACACAAGCATTTTAGATTTTAGTCATATCAAGATTTGGAGTCCTAAATACCCAACAGATTTCCAAAACTATTAAGGAATGTTTGCAGAAACACAGTGGATTAGTAATTTAAACATTAATTCAAGCACACTAAAATCATCCAACTCAATCTTCTAGGCACTCTTAGGAAACTATAAGCATTTACTTTGCAGCCTTAATTCACTGAGTAGTTCTAAACTGGGTAGTTTTTTTTCTTTTTTCTTTTTGAGACAGGATCTCCCTGTAGCCCAGCTGATCTGGAATGGTCTACGTACACCAGGCTGGCCTCAAACTCATATTTCCCCCTGCCCCTGCCTCCCAAAAGGTGCTAAACCAGGTAGAATTGTTGTTCAATCACCCTGTAAAGCTGGGCACCATCTCCTAAGAAACTCAGAAGTTTCTCTACCACGATCAGCATCATCATCTCTCTCACAACTTCTTAACCATTCTAACAAACTTTCTTCAATAAAGGGTATTTCACACAGTATATGGAAGAAAAAAAAGCTGGACTTCAGGGTTTGGATTGTATGCCCTCAACCAGAGAATAAATCAGCAGCAAAGAACCCAACCCTCCTTACCACCTGCACAAAAACTCCCCCAAAACCAGTCACAAAACTCTTCAATTTGCAGACAAAATTTCTTCAACTACAACTTACTCCAGTCTAAAAGCTACCTTTAATTGAGGGTTGGTAGACATGATCTCAAATGATTCAACTGTAAATATTCTAATGATAAAACTGAGACAGTATGTGATAACTAAAAAAATAAAATAAATTTTTTTTGGGGGGGGTCTTTTTGAAGCAGGGTCTCCCTGTAGCCCCAGCTGTCCTGGAACTCACTATGTAGACCAGGCTGGCCTTGAACTCAGAGATCCGCAGGCCTCTACCTTCCAAGTGCTGGGACTACAGGCGTGCGCCACCACGCCTGGCTAACTAAAAATTTTTAATGCCTCTAATTTCATTATCTTTCTCCTCATTTAAAAATATCCATTATTACAGCAGCATGGCCTAAAATTCTTAAAAATTCATGTGATTTTTGTGAACTAGCCAACAATACTAAGGGATGCTTTTGGTGGATTTAAAGTTAGTAGCTGTTCATTACCAAGAACAATTTTTTTCTCTTCCTAAGTAGAGAGAAATTACAGAAAAATAACAATTACCAAAAAGGTACTTAAGTAGACAGTATTCTTTTACATGGTATTATATAAGCAAAGGTTTTTCTTACTGAGCACTTTGAATCACAATATGCGAGTACTGCTATTTCTTAATTATGCTTGTATCTGCATTGTAAATGAAAAAAAAAATTGTCTTCTATATTGACATTTGGTCTACCCACCAAACTACAGGCTAAAGAGATCTCCCTTTTAGACTAAAAAAACCCAAACTAAACCTTATACCAAATTTAGTGATCAAAAATTATCCTAACTGCCAGGCAAAGTGGTCTTTAACCCCAGCACTCAGGAGGCAGAGGCAGGTGGATCTCTGTGCGTTGGAGGCCAGGCTGGTTGACACAGCCAGTTCCAGGCCAGCCAAGGCTATATGGTGAGACCCTATCTCAAAAACAAAAAATAAACAAATACCCTATTTAGAACTCCACTAGATTTCTTTTTCCCCATTCTATGAATAAATGCCAGAAGTCTGGTCTACTAAAACCCATACATCAGCATTACTATTTGGAGAAAAGAAACCAAAACAAATTCAGTCAGAAAAGCCTCCTGTCACATGCACCTATAGTGCCATTTATTACAAATATTTTAAAAATGAAAAACTCCAATTTGAGGATCTAAGCCAGGGCTCTAAAGAGCTATATATAGCCAAAGAGCTATACCCTCAGCAAGCTATTACTACTTTAAAATGTAAATATTAGTACTTTAGAGCCTCCCTGAACTGCTAAATTTTAAGAGTTTATGTGATGAACTAAATGAAAGTTTAACTGCTGCTGGATGTGATGACTAACATCTGCATTTCTGGGGACCTGGGCTGAGGCCAGGGATTGTTGGGGTTGGAGGCTAGCCTGGGCTACAGAAAACTAGAATGGTGGGTCACATCAGAACTTTTATATTCCAAAAATAATTCCAACACTGACTCATTAAATCCTCAGAAAATCCTTTCTCCACAATGCAAACAACTCCAAATAAATGAATGGAGTGGGCATAAAATATGCTATCAACTTCAGATCGCTGCTGGGTTAGAAAGTTAAAATCACACCATAAATTATAATCGCTGCTTTAACAAAAAGGCCCTCCACGCCTTCTTTCAGTTGGAAAAAAAAAGTTGTAGAGAATGCCACAAGGCAAACGCCCAAAGGACTTGGTATTTAACCTCTCTTTTCAGTCCCTCCCCAGTGAAGAGGAGGAGGAAGAAACAGTAACACTGAGAAGAATTGCCACGTTTTTGAATGAGCCTCCTGCAGATGACCCCAGCATTCAGAAGGCAAACCAGCCAGTTAAACTCCAAGGTCGAGTGCTGCAATCCTAGGCTATTCATGAAAAGCTAGCTGTACGAGAAGTATTACAACGAACAAGAATGGCGGTTAGGCTTCTGCAAGGCCCCTCCAACTAGCACCCATCTCCACCCATTTAGGACCTGCGGCCCATGTGCCTCTTACCTTCTTCCGTCTGTGCGTTGGTGATCTGCAGATCGCAGTCGGCAGCTTTCAGCTTTTCTCTCCCCATAATCTGCTTCTTTAAGTCGCAGAGGGAGATGTGGAGCCCATCAAAGGTGACAGTATCATAGTTGAGTTTAGAGGAAAATTTATAATGCACACAGGACATTGTGGCAAAGGATTCCTAAGGTTCAGCGAGGAGACGTGGACACTCTCAATATATGTATATTTATAAACTTAAGAGCAAAATATGTACACACACAAAACACTCAAAAGACACCGAAGGACCCTAAGGCCTCAGATTAAATACCCCCCAACCACAAGCGGGGGTTCGAGAGAACAATAATCCGGAACCCCCCCGTACTCAGAATCGCTTCATGTGGGAGGAGGACGGGAATGGGGGCAATCGAGGATCCGCCAACCGGCACAATGTCACCCGGCTGGGTCCCCCTCGCTCATGCTAAGGGCCGGCTGGAGACGGGGGCAGGCGGTGCAGTCAGTAGCGGTCAGTCCACACGTTAAGAGTCCGAATGACCCCGCGGGGTCAGGGGTCCATAGCGCGGCCGCACCTCCCGGCTGGTCTCTCTCTCGGTGGACGGGGTGACCCAGGCACCGGGAGAAGGTTGCGGGGAGAGAGGGCCTAGGCCCGGAGTCCTCGAGTGGCCTCTCGCCTCCTCCCGGCTTCCGGACGACCGGCGTCGGCGTCCCGAGGCCCAGGCCCCCACCGCACACACCCTGGCGCCTGCTCCCCGGAGGCCGCGAGAGGCCCACGGCCTAGGCCGAGAACGCGCGGTCGGCGGAGGAGAGGCCTTCAGCGGCCGCCCCCGACTCAGCTCCGCCTCCCCACCCCCCCGCCGCCGCGCCGCCGCCTGAGACACAAAGCCGGTGCGGGGCCTCGCTAGGCCTCGAGGCCCTTCCTCACCACCCCGGCCCCGGCCTGCGGCCGGGCGGCTTCGGCAGACCCCGGGGACGCTGCCGAGGCTCCCGGACGCGTCCTGTCGCCGGCTCCTCGGCGCTCCTCCCGTTCTCGTCGCCTCTAGGCCCGCGACCGCGTCGGGGAGCCCAGGAACGGTCGGGCGGCGGCGAGGGCTTCGCTTGCTTCCCTTTTTTTGTTTTGTTCTGCCCCCCGGCCGCTCTCGGGCCTTCACCCAGCGTCGGCGACACCTCTAAGCCAGGAACTATGGCGGACGCGGCCCGGCTTCAGGCGAGCGCCCCCACTCCGGGGTCTCTTAAGCAGTGACTGCACGGGCCGCGCGCGCGAGGCGGGACTTGGGCGTGCGCCGATGGGCGGGCGGGGGACGGGGCCTGACGTCACAAAGCGCACCGGGTCGCCCACGTGACCCCCGCGCTTTGTGACTTAGAGCCGGAGAACGGGCGCAACCATAAGCCTCGAGAGGGGGGTGAAGACTAGAGGACCGGCTCACTGGCGGGCCCGGAAGGGGAGCTCAGAGCCGGGCCAGTTCCCGTGGCCGAGGGGCGTGGCCGAGCAGTGGGCGGTCAACTCCCCCAACCCAACTGCAGTCAAAGTGGCGGTTGCTATGAGAGCACTTCCTTACTCCCTTTCCACCAGCAAGCCTGAACCCTGCGTACACGGAGTTTGTAGAGCCACCGCTGCCTAGAATTAAACAGCTTCACCACCGGTAGCATCTTAGAGATTTATTCAGCTTTTACTGTGTGCAGGCGCAGAGTTAACTGCGTGATAACATTAGCAAGCTCTGGAGCCAAGGTGTCTGGGTTGGAACCCAGTCCTGGGGCTCTCAATTTAACTCCCCCAAGTTCTACTCTCCTTGGCTCTAAGATACTGTTTAAAGAACAAAGGGATTTGCTGGGTTCTTTAGGATGCAATCCGTGAATACATTTCCATATATAAGACCATGCTCGGCACATGATTCAATGTTCCTCCATAGATGTTCCTGGATAAATGTCAAATTAACAGTAACACCCCCTGACTGGTCAGTATTATAATTATCTTCACTTTTTAGACTAGAGACCTGAGCCAACAACGCCACATTTTCAGAAGAGAAATCTGCGGGATGCTGATTCCATTTGTAATGACAAATGCCAGGAATTTTGCCAAAACCCCGGCAGGTTGCTTTTTTTTTTGTTGTCGTTGTTGCATCATAGGAAATATATTATGTATATAAATTTCATGAATAATAAATTACTTTAAAACCATAACATTATCAGTGCATGCTGCACACCCTCTCTGGATTATATAGGCTGTGCTCAGAGAAGTTGAACAACCAAAAGGTAATAGAATTTCCTAGGAACTTCCTAAATGCTAAGGCCCCCAATTCTTCTGGAACTTGGTTTGAATCATTGGACGCCTTCCTAAGGCCATCTTATTTAAGTAACCTAGTCATCAGTTTGGGTCTCTTTATTTTCTTCTAAATAGTCCTCAGTAGCTGACAAGGTATACGTTTGTTTATTCAGAGAAAGTCTCACTGGGTAGCCTAGATTGGCCTTGAACTCAGTCTTCCTGTCTCAGTCCCCTGAGTGCCAGGATTAGTTTATTTTTTATGTTTCCCGCTCAACTGAGAACAAAGATTTTAGATTGTTATTTACTATTTCCCTAGCTCTTGAAAGAGTGTCTAGACATAGTGGACACTCAGTTAATAGAGTTTTAATACTGGGGTACATTTTTATGTGATCTATTGAATTATTGTGGCAATAAGATTTCTGACAAGAGTCAGGGACAACCCCAGAGGTAAAAACCCAACTTAAATCACTTATATAAGTGGTGGGGGTGTGTTTTTTTTGTTTTGTTTTGTTTTGTTTTGTTTTGTTTTTTGGCTTTTGGTCTTTTTGAGACAGGATCTTCCAGTAGCCCCAGCTGACCTAGAACCCACTATGTAGACCAGGCTGGCCTTGAACTCCAGAGATCTCCCAGCCTCTGCCTCCCCAGTGCTGGGATTAAAGGCGTGTGTCACCACGCCTTGCCTATATAAGTACTTTAAAAAAATGTTTTAATTATTATTTCTATTTTATGTGTATGTGTATATCGCCTGCATGTAGGTAAGTGCACCTGTGTCGTGCAATGCCCTTGGAGGACAGAAGAGGCAGTCAGATCCCCTGGGACTGGAGTTACAGACAGTTGTTAGCTGCCATGTGGGTGCTGGATTTCAAACTCTGGTCTTCTGCAAGAACAGTCAGTGTTCTTAACTGCTGAGCCATCTCTCCAGCCCCATAAGTACTTTTTAAAAGTAGCAAGTTTCTCCCTCCTTTGCCTTCTTTTTTGGTAAGTCTTCCAGATTTCTTGCTCTGTGGTCAACTTTAGGGTGATTGCTTTTCTTAAATATCTGCCTGAATAGCTGGGCGTGGCAGCACTTGCCTTTAATCCCTGCACTCTGGAGGAGGCTGTGGCAGGCAGATCTCTGATCAAGGCCAGCCTTGTATAGATAGTAAGTTCCAAGTCAGCTGGGAGTACAGAGTGAGACCCTGTTTGTTCGTTTTTGTTTTAAATCTGTGTGAAGGGACAGTTGGACTGGGGAGCAAGGGCCTGGGTTCCATTAATCCCCTTACCAAATCCAGAAGCCGATTGGATCAATGGGCTACTCTCCAGGGTGGTCAGAATCCACTCAGAGGAGGAATGAGTCTCCAGGAAGGATGCAGTCAATATGGTATAGGCTCCAACTGCTTAATAAACCTTTATTTTCTAAGTCAGTTCAGGTTTAAAGACACACTGAGTGGAAAACATGGAATTCTTATATACAGTTTCCTCTATTTTTTAAACCATTTTACTTTAGTGTGGTATATTTGTTACAACTGAGGAAGCATCAGCATTTTATTATTAACTAGTTCATAGTTTATAATTTATTCTGGGTTTGTGTGTGTGTGTGTGTGTGTGTAGAGGATCAAACCCAGAGCCTCCTATCTGCTAAGCTGGTGCTGTACCGCTGAGCTATATCGTCAGCCCCCATTTTGTGGGCCTAACAAGTATACGGTGACACAGCCTACTTTCACAGCCCTGGAAGTCCCAGACGCTGTACCTATTTACTGTCTCACCCATTCTCCAACTCCCGCAGCCACTGCTTTTTTGATTGGCTTCATAGTTCTGGCTTTTCCAGAATGTCATATAGTCAGAATTACACAGTATATAATTTTTTCAGACTGGACTGTTGTCCTAAATTAAAAAGAAAGAAAGAAAGAAAGAAAGAGTTGAGGGGCTGGAGAGACGGCTCAGCAGTTAAGAATACTCACTGTTCTTGCAGAAGACTCAGGTATGAATCCCAGCACCCACATGGCAGCTAACAACTGTCTATAACTCCAGTTCGAGGGGATCTGACAACCTCTTCTGTCCTCCGAGGGCATTTCACGACATGGGTGCACATAAAATAAAAATAATAAATATTAAAAAAAAAAAAAAGAAGAAGAGTTGACCAGGGATGTAGGTCAATGGTAGAGTGCTTGCTTAGCATGTAAATCCTTCGATTTGATTCCCAAGACACAGACTTTTTTTGGGTGCGGGGGAGACAAGGTCTCATATAGCCCAGGGTGACTTCAGACTTGATACATAGCCAAGGATGACCTTGATTTTTTTTTTTTTTTTGTCTTTTTGTGATAGGGTCTCAAAAAGTTCCTGTAGCCCCAGCTGTCCTGGAACTTACTATGTAGACCAGGCTGGCCTTGAACTCACAAAGATCCGTCTACCTCAGCCTCCCATGTGCTGGGATTAAAGCTGTACACTACCATGACCAGCTTGACCTTGAATTTTAATTGTCTTGTCTCCCATAGTGCTGGGATTACAAGCATGTACTATCACACCCAGATTTACTGAACCTAGGGCTTTGTACGTGGTAGGGAAACATGATGCCCACTGAGCTGTTTCCAGCCCTAATTTCATGCTGCTAGGTAAATTACAAGAATAACAAAGGACTTCTACTTACAGTTTACTTACATTCATCAAATATTAGTATTTTGACCCAATTCCTCTTATCTTTTGTTCTTTTTCTTCTTACTGATGCATACATATCGTATGCAATATGTTTGTATTAATGTGCTTTAAAAACTACATGTATATAACCATATACATTGTATTTCTAGATCATGCCTCTTCATTCATAAAAATATCCATACATATTCCTGGAGAGCAAAGACCTCTTTAAAACTCAAATGTATTAAAATCAAGATGGCTCAGTGGGTAAAAGCACTTGCCACTAAGCTAACAGCCTGCATTCAGTTCCCAGAACTCACATAGTGGAATGAGAGGACCAAGTCCCACAAGTAATCCCCTGGCTACACATATGCCCTACCATGTGTGTGGACACATTTTTTTTTAATTAAAAAAAAAATCTTATGGCTCAGTGGTTACGAACACTGGCTATTCTTGCAGAGGACCCAGGTTCAAATCCCAGCACCCACATGGGAACTAAGAACTGTCCATAACTCCAGTTCCAGGGATCCGACGGCCTCGTCTGTCCTCCGTGGGCATTGCACGACACAGGTGCACTTACATATATACAGGTAATACACATACATAAAATAATAAAATATTTTTTTTTAATTAAAAAAGTCTGGCCAGGCGTGGTGGCACATACCTTTAATCCCAGGATTTGGGAGACAGAAGC